AGAAGGGGGAAGGCCTTGTTTCCCCCCCTCCTTATCAGTTAGCACAAGGCGGGGATAAAAACCCCCCCCCCCCCCCACCCCCCCTCCTCCGCACCACACTCACGCACCCGCACGCACCCAGGCACATGGACATGGGCGCATGCGGCGCGCACACACAGCCACCAGCGGGCACAGCGGTGCACACCCGGCGCGCACCGTCAGTCAGCCCGCCTTACACACCTCCCAGCATGGAGGACGGGCCCACGCGCACACTGCACACACTCGCTGAGCACGGCTGGCTCGGGAGCCGACACGAGGCGCGCTGTCACTAGCGCGCTCGCTGACGGGACAAAGGGCCTGACCCCCCACCCATGCCCCGCAGGTGCTCGGCGTGATCCTCGTGGCGCGGATCGTCAACGGGTCGCAGCAGGCCACCTCGGCCGCGGGCAGCGTCATCGCGTTTGCCTCTACGCTCCGCACCGTCGCGATGCTCTCGTGCAACGTGTCCGAGACTCTGACGATCAACGCGGGGGCTGACCATGAGAAGAAGGCGACGACCGTGTTCAGGGACGAGCCGGTCCTGTCCTTGACATGTCCACGACACTTCCGAGACATGTCGCGTAGGCGACGACCAAGTTCCGGTACGAGCTGGTCCGGCTGCTCAACCTCTCCTTTTACTGCTACACGCTCATGCTCAAGGGGCTCAAGCTCGTGACGCCGCCCGCGTCGCTCATCCCCCTGGAGGGGGGGGTGATGGAGGCGGAGGTCCTGTCCGTGGTCTCGTGCCCGACGGCGATGGTCTGCAAGTGGATCACGTCGCTGCTCGAGGAGCAGCGGCAGGCGGCGCGCATCACCGACCAGCAGGTCTCGGTGATGACGACGGAGCTCATCAAGCTGATGAAGGCGAGATACAGCGAGATGCAGCCCGAGATTCAGCGAGATGCAGCCCGAGATGACCTCGAGATGACCCGAGCTGACCTCGAGCTGACCTCAGGTCTACCAAGACACGCACGGCCTGCAGTTCACGCCGATGCCGGCGATGCTCAACGGCCTCCTCCTCCTAGAACCAGAACCCGAACCCGTCCCCCTGTCTCCCAACCAGCACTCGAGAGGACGCGTCCGGCTGTGTCCGGCCGTATCCCGCTCTCTTCACCGCAACTCGCCTCCCTCGTATTCACGCGGTGCTCTGAAGACACGGCGCGAGAGACCGTTCTCGCGCCCTCATGCTGGTGTCTTTCACCGCGTAGGCTTCTCCTACTTTTTCGTCGTCGTGTGGGTCTACTCGATGGCCCCCGTCATCGCAATGATGGAGATGCACGACAACGGCGATCTCAACAACGAGGGGTTCGGCCTCGGCCTCGCCTTCTCCTTCTTCCTCGCCCTCTTCTACTTCGGCCTCTACGAGGCGGGCAAGATCATCGAGCAGCCCCTCGCCGGCGTCGTCGACTTGCTGCCTATCGACGAGATGGGGCACACGCTCTCCGACGACCTCTCCAACCTGGTCGACGATCCGAACGACGAGGTGCCCGTTTTCCTTCCCCGCCCGCCCGACGCGCGCAACGGCAAGATCTGACCGCCCCTGAGGCGGAGCCGCGGGGAGGCGGAGCCGCGGGGAGGCGGAGCCGTGGCCGCGCGCTTGGCTCGGCGACACGCCACGCGCGGTCGTCGGAGGTAGCGAGGGGCCAGGGCAGGGGCCGCCTGCGCTGCACGTACGTTTATACGCAGGGGTTTAGCCAGAGAGGGTGCCGAGGGGCCGGCCGAGCCGACGCGGCTACGCGGTGGAGTTGCCGGCGATGTGTGCCGCAGAGCGGACGCTCTCGAGACTCTGCCTCCTACTGTTTGGGACGCCGCCTTTCGAGGTAGATCGCGATTTTTTTCGAGGTCAGACGGCAGCGAGCGACTTTTGCCTGCAGCCGTGTAACTCGGCCTCTGGCCGCCGACAGCGCCTAACTCGGGGTCTATGGGGCAGAGCCTCAGCCTGGGGTCTGGGGCTGGCAGCCCCAGCGGGGTGCGGGGCAGAGCCCCGCGAAGAAAATTTTGCATTTTTAGCAGCCACCACGAAAAACCGACCAAAAAGAGGGCTGCGTGAGCTGCTGTCCAAGAGCCCCCAGACAAGAGCGCAATATACAAATCTCGTACAACAAGTACACACACACACACACCCGATTCATACCGTCATGCAGTGTACAAATCACTTCCTTCCCTGACGCTTCTTGGCTGCTGCTGGCTTGGCTGGTGGCCGTGCGGACTTGGCTGCCGGCTTGGCCCCCCGGCCCCGCCCCACCCGCGCCGGCGCATGCAATGATGGGCCATCCTCATCACTGCTGTCTGGCGGGCGTGTCGGCGGTGCTTGAGGCGCGGTGCCGCCAGAGCCTTACGCTTCCCTGCACGTGCGGGTGCGGGTGCGGGTGCGGGCGCGGGTGCGGGTGCGGCAGCAGCGCCGCTCGGGCCGACGGTGGCGCTGCTGGCGGCGGCGCCCGAGGTGCTGGCGCCGCCGGATGGTGCCAGCTGAACAGCTGCGGGCGTGGGCGCTCCGTCGGGGAGCGCAGTCGGGAAGCCCTTCCGCTCCAGGCTGCTCATGATTGAGTCACGCTGCTTCATCAGGTCCCAGATTGGTGAGCGTACCGTGCCATCCCATGCGCACCATCATTGCCATGGCCGGGATGGGCAACACATCATTCGATTTCTTGAGCCTGGACGTTGAGGGCTCGGAGTACATGGATCATGGTGCTCGCCACCTCAGACCTCAGTGCGTTCAAGCTGGTGATGGTTGAGATGGAGTCTGCAAACGAGAGGCGATCCGTGCGCGCGTTGTGGGCCTGCTCCGCGCGGCAGGCTTCACCCGCTACCCATTTGGGCGCACCTGGGGCATCAACCATGTCTATATGCACAGGCGATTTGCTGCATGTGCAATACTAGCCGCCGCCGTCGCTCGGCCTGAAGTCACCGTCCCCGACAGCGCCGCGCGGCTCGAGGCCGAAGACGTCCGCGCTCGTGCCGGGCTCGGTGTTGCCGAGGCCGACGAAAGCGCCTCGCTGGCCGACGTCCTCCGGGTTGGAGGAGAGCGAGTCCTTGAACTTGACGTCGCCGACGAGGCGCTTTCGGCTTGTGTTGTTTTGGGCGTGCGTCCCTCTGCGTTTCTTTTGCAGCGCTCTGCTGGTGGGGGGGGT